AGGAGGAAATAAATGCATGGCCCTCCCTTGCCCTGTATTTCACATTGTCTGGACTCTTACAGTCTCTGGGCTGTACTGTGAATTGCACATACAATCCTTCTTACTTCCTCTGGATTTGAACGATTCATACTTGTGCTAAGTGGCTGCAAAACAAAATTAATACATGTATGATTCTCACAGTGCACACTGAACATCCCCATCATAAACTACAGGATTCTTCCCACAAGTTCTTCCCACAAGAACTGTGCTCATCACCCTTGACAGATATATTTCAAAATTTGGCACCTACTCATCACACTCATGTTTCAAAAATATCCCACTGCTCAAAACAGAATTGCAAAAAGTCTCCAGGAAAGATGAAGATGCACAGGAGAATACTGCCAGCTTTCCTATTCTCATACTTTCCAATTTAAACTGAGTGATAATTCTGCCACAGTAGCCAACATATTAATTTTCAGAAAAAAATCCCACCTATGAGAAGGGTTGCTAAAATTAACAATTTTTTAAAAGTGCTAAGTAGATGTAAGTGGCCTGAGCCTCTATTCTCAGCAATGCCTGGTGGGAATCTGCTGCCTTGGCCGACAGTGAGAGTTTGAGCCAGGAATCTCCGAGCTAAAAAAACATACAGACACTGCCTGATGAGAAGGCCCTTTTTATAAAGGGTTATGCATTTTTTTTCTTCAATGGAAGCTCTTCCCACACGTCTGACAACCACAAGGGGTTGAAACTTGAATGAGCTTGTGCGATAGTTACCCTCCTGATTGATGTTCTAGGGCTGAAATTTTTGTCCCACCAAACTGAAAACATAAATTGCCACAGCTTGAAATAAGAAGCATTATTTTTAGCAGGGGACTGCAACATATCCCAGCCTCTGTGGATTGGCCCAGACGGAGCAATGTCCAAAACACATGCTCACCATCTGATTATACCAGTAGCCTCTATCACAAGAGTGAAAAACAAGTGAGAACAGGATTGCCTTAGAGCTGTCTCATGATGATTTAGTAGCAAATTAGGCTGTATCTGAGCCATACTTAAAAGGAACAATTTATGTATCAAAACTGAAAGTTTTGAGAGCTAAAAATGAAGCCTGGATCTGCCAGCACAAGCAGGAGAAACGGAACTGATTCGCAACAGTGGCGATCAATTTTCAAGGGAAAACATTTTTAGAGGTCACCCTTTCTGACAGTTTCTCCACGACTTTTATTTTGGCATCAATATCGTAGTCTGAAGAAATATTTTATGAAAAATAAAAATTCAGTTCTTCCTTTATCCAAGAGCTTACCCTCATATATGAAGCAGACTATCAAGGTTTTCAAAAAAGAGTTTTTGATCCAAAGCCGGTACATGTATGAAAACTGGTTATACACACAAAAAAAGCAGCATTCTATGTTTGTCTCCAGTAACTACGGTTTACTGGGATAAGCTGGAACACTTCAGTGAGGAATATTATTTACAGTGCATTATCTGAAATAAAATGTGATCCAAAAGTAGTCAAAAGAAGAGACAGCTAAGTGTGAAATTTTCTTTGTAGTCAGCTGCTGATCCACAGATGAGTCATTCATAAAGGATCACTCATATTTCATCTCATCACCATCTCTGAATCTTCTGAAACCTTTTCCAGAAGTTCAGTTTAGACAGACGTGCTTCAGTCATCATGCCACCTTCATCAGTGCCTCACCCAAGAACACAGGGCAGAGTTTTCCTCTCCCCACTGCTTGCTTTGTCACCTCTGCAACATGAGGACACTGGCTGTGCCATCTCCATGCTGCAAGAGCTCTTTCTTACACCTGGGGCTATTTGGCTTTTTGGCTTCAACACGCGGACAGAGCTGGACAGCAAACTGTAATGGGAGCAGTGAAGCGAACAGACAGCTCAGCAGGAGCAGGTGGTGGAACCCTCCTCAACACAGCAAGCCTTAGTGGTAGTGTATCAGGAATAACTCAAGAGAAAACTACCTAGAAGTCTGGTAGTGGTGTGGCACATCCATATCAGTAGCAGCAGCAACATGGAGGGTGGCTGTGCCAGTTGTGGCTTTTCAGACCTGTAATCTCTGACACGGGACCATGCTAATGCATGCATTAGAAAGGAGAGTTACTGAGCATGAAGAGTAACTGCTTTGCAAAGCAATTATCAAATAAAACACAAACATACCCACATCTGTGGGTTTTGTGGTCTAGAACATTTTTGTTAGTAAAACTCTCTTTCTTTACAGTGAAATAAGACTAGGAAAGCATAAAAAGCCCTTTTGCTGCTATAAGAGGAGTGTTTACAACCAGTGTAAAGCACCGCACTGTGAGGGCTGCTATGCCAAAGTGAACTCTGTCTCAGCCTGACCCAACACAAGAGAGAGACACTGCCTCAGTAGCACTCCTGGTCTTGGAAACCATAAGAGCAAAGCTTGAACTCAGGGCCTGAGCACCAGAAAATATGTTGAGCTGCCTCTGCTCTGCTAGTACTCTGCTAGTACTGCCTCCCAACACAAACAAGTGATTTCCACAGCACTGTAGCCCCTCCTGACTCAGGCTGGACCTGACGCAGCACAGAGTTGTCCTGTCACTACACCCACAAGATACAATATCTGATATGGACAATAAATGGACTAACGTTTGTTTGATTTTTCATTTGGTTTGATTTGGTTTATGTTTTGCTTTGTTTTTCCAGTACCCTGAGCTAGCACTCTAAATCAGTGACAGAGAGCTCAAGCACAAGCAAATTCAATTGCTAAAATAAAGCAACAACACAAATCAGTCCAAAATAGCAGTCAGAAATAAACTAATAATAATGCCTTCTTCCAGTTTTATATTTGAACCCTTTACAATCTTCTTTCCAGCACAGCATACACTTTGACAGCCATGAAATAGCAGTGACAGCTGCAAAGAGTGCTGCCTGCTTTTAGGCATTCTCCCTTTCTTTAAAAATGTCACTCAGCCACAAATCACATAAGATTTTGAGTATTTCCCAGGATTAGAACCCTTCCCTTTCTGAATGGAACTACTCTCCATGGAAGCCTGAAGCCTTACCAAAATCACAAACCCAATAATTTCACAGAACTTGCACAAAGTACTCTTCATCTGTGTCTCTAAGCCTCTCTTACTGTGCATTATGCTCTCCAGTCTGTGAGCCTCTCCCAGAACATCAGCACCTGAGTCCCAACTTTAAAGCAAGAAGCAAGCAACTGTTATTCCCAACAGATTCAATGATTTGCAAGAACCACCAATGGAGAGACTGGAAGGTAATCCCTCTTCACTGATCCTGAAGAGGTCTGAACCGAGGTTGTAGAGCTTTCAGATACTGTCTTCCATAGAAGTGTGTTCAAATCCCCAGCATGACAATCTGTCCTGCTACATCCATGCGTAGCTGTGCAGAATGGTGTATGATGGGTATGATCCAGAAGCATGGAAACCATTTTCATTTTCCTAATTCAGGGCTGCAGTGTCTCAAAGCCCTGGTAAACTCTCTTTGAAGTACGTCTGCCAGATGAATTTTCCCTGAGATGCTCATATTGAAATCAATGGGACCTCTTACCTGTTCTGACCAATTGCCTCTGCTTCGCTTTTGCCAGTGTTTCTGAAATGTGAAATTCAAATCTGACATCCTACATCCACTGAATCTGCATTTTCTGTCTATGCTTTGTTTCAAAGATTTCTGATTAGCTCTACCTAATGTTTCTGTCTGTTCCTGTTGCATGCTGGCACTGGTTCTCCAAAGGCACTGAATCCAGTAACTGCAACAAAGCTGTGTTCACTTTACCAGCTGAGGCCTAGGGACAGAATGTTTTCTACACAGAATGGGACCATATCTCATTATTTACCCTGTATCATTTGAACAGTAGTCACAGTCAGTATGAGTACATATGATTCTACAAAGCAAACAGAGTTCCTTTTTGCAGCTGGGACTCCAAGGGACAAAGTAACACACTCCTCTTTCAACTCCCATGTACTGAATTTGTGTCCTTATTTCATAGAATCATAGAACTGCTTAGGTTGATAAAGACCCCTAAGGTCATTGAGTCTGATCCTTAACCCGGCACTGCCTTGTTCATCACTAAATCATGTCCCCAAGGGCCACCACACACCTTCTGAACACTTCCAGGGATGGTGATTCCAACACTTCTTGGGACAGCCTGTTCCAATGCCTGACTCCCTTTTCTGTGAATAAATGTTTCCTCAGTATACAATCTCATCCTTCCCTTTTGCAACTTGAGGCCTCAGCTCTCATCCTGTCACTTGTCATGTTGGAGAAGAGATCGACTCCCACCGATCCCTGCCACACTACAGCCATGTCTCTAAGTGCCACATCTGCACATCTTTTAAGTATCTCCAGGGATGGTGATTCAACCACTTTCCTGGGCAGTTTGTTTCAATTTTTGACAACCGTTTCTGTGAAGAAATTTCTCATGCATGCATGGTTGATATCAAACCAGCAGAAAAATCAGAACAGTTCATAGTATTGCTTAGGATGGTCCAGAAGCAAAACAAAAGGTTGTAAGTCAA